TCTTCAGTTACCTAATTGAATAAGAGCAAATTTATATCTCTCAGTAACTTGTGATGATGATTTTTGCTCAATTTCCAGTAAAAGAGCATGCAATCTACTCTAGCTACTGCATACCATGAAATATCTATATACTTACTAAAGAATGTTAAGTGCAAAGTGGCCTCTAAAATAAAGATTAATATGCTGTGACATATAATTTTCATAATCAAAAAGGTGACTGTAGCATTTGCTTCAGCTATATGAAAATGAAAATTGAACTCCAAGACCATTCTTGCTTTCAGGCTATTTTTGGCAAGGTTTCAAAAATCTGTAACATTTAAATCTAGTATTTCTTAAAATTACTGCTGCTAGCTGCTTTCCAGTTTTTTCCACATTTATTTATCAGTCAACATATGTTGCTAATCTCTGCTGAAAGGCTGTTCAGAAAGTGATTCTTAATTTGAAGAGGTGTTTGGAGGCTTTCATGATGTTGAACAAACATCTCATAAAGTTGAAGGCCAGTCTTTCAAGACCAGTCTCCAAATGGGCACACATCATGAATATAAACATTATATATGTGACTTATGCCCCTAACTCACATATTTTGGATAAAATCTGTACCTCTTGAAAGTTAATGGCAAAACGTATCTGAACTTCAGTGTAGTCAGATTGTCAACACTGACTAATGAATTGATCTTCTGGGGTTATATTCTCAGAATACCTCATAATAACATCAACAAAAAAAAAAAGATTTTGTCATTCCATTTTAGACATTCATAGAATCATAGAATCATAGAATGCTTAAGGTTGGAAGGGACCTCTAGAGGTCATCTAGCCCAACCCCCCTGCCCACGCAGTGTCCCCTAGAGCACGTGGCACAGGACTGCGTCCAAGCGGGTTTTGAAGATCTCCAGAGAAGGAGACTCCACAACCTCTCTGGGCAGCCTGTTCCAGTGCTCTCTCACCCTCACTGGTAAGAAATTTTTCCTTAAGTTCCTGTGGAACTTTTGATGCTTCAGTTTCCGGCCGTTTCCTCTAGTTCTGTCAGCGGCCACCACTGAAAAGAGGCCAGCACCATCCTCCTCACTCCCTCCCTTGAGGTACTTATAGACACTGATCAGATCCCCTCTCAGCCTTCTCTTCTCCAGGCTGAACAGGCCCAGCTCCCTCAGCCTCTCCTCGTAGGGCAGATGTTCCAGGCCCCTGATCATCCTTGTGTCCCTGCGCTGGACTCTCTCCAGCAGCTCCACATCCCTCTTGTACTGTGGAGCCCAGAACTGGACACAATACTCCAGATGTGGCCTCACATTCTTTAAGGAATTTCAACCTGTACATTGTCTTTGCCTTCGAATGAATTAATTTTCTTGCAAATAGCTAGTGCAGGTTACAGTAATAATTGCTATCATTAGGCTTTTTGTTTAAAAATGTCTCTATGATTGATCTTTAAAAAGAACATGCACCTTGTTATACACATAGGCACTGATAAGACTGATTGGGTTATAAGGGTTATAAGGAATATCAAATGACTTGCAGGTTCAAAACAAGTAAGAGGAGATGTTTATTCACAGAGTGAGGGTTCAAGGCAGGAGTCTTATATTTGTTCAAAAAGCTTAGACAAATTCATGCAATAAATACAAGCATACATCTGAGGATACTCTGCAATATAAAGCAAATAAACCGCAGGAGGATAAACCAAGTGTACTACTTGGTATAGTGCATCCACATACATGCATCCATTTCTTTTGTACACATCCATTGTTGACTTCTATCAGAGACAAAGTGTTCAGGTAAATGAAGCAATCATCTGGCTTGGTAAATCTTTTCTTTTTCTTATGAGTTCCTGTTTATCTGAAAAATGTCACTGTACAAATAGGGATGTTTAAGTAAAAATAAGAAGATGCAAGTATTGACCAGCAATCATCATCTACAGTTTCTTTTTTATTAGGTCATATCAGTGGATAAAGGCGATGGTATCGATCAATCTAGAACTCATCAGATTCTTAAACTTTCCTAAAATCCCAGGCTGGGATTCATCTCACTTTATCTATATCCATTATTCTCTAGATATGCTTTTTTCTTCTCTATTTTCAGTGGAGGAAATTAAATAATATAGTATATTAGATCCTTAATATATTTTAGAGACATTGCATTTCAGTGGATAAGTTTCCCACCACAGTACAGTTCAATAACAAGACCTAGCATTCCACTTTTGGACTAGAACATGTGATGTAGAAAGTTATTGATGGTCAAAAGTCTTGATGGCCAAACAATACAAAATCTCCCTTATCTCTGAGTAAGTTACCACAGTACCTAATCAGCCTCATTAAAAACAAACAAAAGTTAAATATTATAGTTAATTTTTTCTAGCTTTGGCTCCAACTTGTGCCTACCATTATGTATTTTTATGTTACCTTGAAAAAGTACTTACTATCCAAAATATTTACCTTATGCTCTTGATTTGATTGAATCAATTCTCTAATCTTTTTTTGAATTGAGTATTTTAATATCTTCTTACAGGGCATATTTTCCAGAACTCATGTAATTATTGCAGATACTCTCTCAATTCTTTCCTCTTCTTTACTGTCCAGCTGGAATTGTGGGTACCAGAAATTAGATACGGTATTTCCTTCGTAATTTTGCTAATGCTTTCTTCTGAGATAATATTTGGCTTGTATTTGTTTTAAATATTATCCTGCTTCAAGGATCATATTCACCCTCTTATGTAGAGCTTCACAGTAGGAGACAGTCTTTAGCTGCTTACTTTCTATGACTCCCCAGTCCTTTTTAGTCACTGCTTTCCAGGACAGCAGCTCCGTTTTGTAATTGTGACCTACATTCTCCCCTCACTGATGCATAAGTTTGCATGTGTTTATATAATAACATATTGTGTTTGAAAGAAGCCCTCTTTCCAAATGATTTATCAATTTGAGTAAATGGTCCATCTCCAGCAATCATGCTGTCCTTAGAGACTTGACTAAGGCTAATCATCATCCCAAACTTGTTACTAGCTGAAAAGCAATAGAATATCATCATGTGCTAGGAATTAATTCTATTTAAATATTTCTAGAAGAATTTCTTGCCATTTCGTCTGATGGTGGGCATATAAGATTCGTTATTGCATCAAGTGGTTTCACCTTTAGCTGACCAGATTAGGAAAGTGTTTTACTTTATAATAAGTTAATAGTTCTGCCTTATACTTATTTTGCTTTCTATATTCCTTATATATGTATATATTCTGCTTTATAGGTTTCTAGTCTGCTTAAGCACTAGGACAGATTCTGTTCGCTGCCAAGAGAAGAGAGCAATCTTGTCAATGATATTAGCAGTCAGTAGTTTGGAGGGTTTTTGAATAAGATGAAGATTAACATTTCTTATTGAAAGGAAGAATGATAAAATGTTTATGTAAATAGTACTTCTTCAGAGAGATGGGAATAAGAGGTGGCACATATTCCAAACCAAGTCCCTTTTCTATGAAGACAAACTTTAAGAGGTAGTGTTTTCATCTAAAAAAAAAAAAAACCCTTACTGTGATTTGATAGTTATTGATGTCTTGAAAGCGGGATAATATAGAAAAGTTTCTTGCAACTGCAGGAAGGGCCGATCACAGAATCACAGAATGGCTGAGGTTGGCAGGGACCTCTAGAGATGTGTACAGTTTCTGTTTATCAGCCTTCATAACCTTTGTAACTGTGTTTCTGTATTTGAAGATGTTGTAATTAAATTATTTTCTTTTACCTTAGTCTGCATTTTTAGAATAAGGTTAAACATCACATTGCATCCCTATGTGTGAGGCTTTCTTTAAAACTGTGCCATTGTACTATTTTCTCAGAGTCTAGAATCTTTATGCAATTTCCAGAGCATTGAAAGGATAATAAGGTAAAACTCTGCTACATAGAATGGTTTTATCTGGAATTTGCAATTTTATTTGTATAGAAGACGCATCCCATTGGTTTGCTGCAGAATAGTAGGGTACACTACAATTTAGCTGCAGAATGGGAACACTACAATTGAGCACTACTGGTCGCGGCAGTTTGCAACACTATAATGCCACCAATTTTTCTGTCATTTACAAATTTTATCAGTAATAATTTTGGATTTGATTCCAAGTTATTACTGAAGTGAGAGACTAAAGTGTGAGAGAGTGATTGACTTATACTGGTACAAGTCAATCTATATAGTTCAGTGCAATCATTTTCCTAGATTATAAGGAAATTTTGAGATCCAACAGTTAACTATTTTTTTTAATAATTTAATATTGATGTTAGTATAATTCTCATATTTCTAGGAGGTAAGCTAAGCAGAACTAAGACAAATATTTTACAGGAGCCTACTTTGTCTGCCAAATTTGTAATTGCATCAAATAATTTTTGAAGCGTATTTGACAAAACCTCATATGTTAATGGCAGTACTTGAATTGACATCTCCTATCAGCTTGGGTCATAAATATTAACAGTTTTTACTTTTCAAAGATATTTCTTCGATTATTGTATTATCTACTAGAGAGTATACTAGTCTAAATTAACATTTTTCTCCTACAACAGCAAGGAGTAGGTGTTTTGCTGACATAATCTGCATTCAGAATAAACTTTTTGCAACATGCGAAGGTCATGGGACAATTTGGGATAATTTAAATGCAAATTTACAATATCCTAAGATTTAGATGTCTTGGTTTGCTTATTGTTTTATGGAACCTCTTTACAAGCAGGTTGGATTTTGATTTAGGAAGGGAATGGAGGAGCTAAATTTGTATTAAAATTACTACATTTGACAAAGTCATATTACCTCTTTTTGTTACCTATTGAATAGAGATGATACTCCTTTTGAAAAGCTTCGAGATCCTTCTGCAAAATGTACTACATAAAAAGCATTTTTAGCTAATTATCTCTTTGCATAGAATTCCAATAGGTAGGATTCATGAGGTCTTCAAGAACAGTGTTGGCGCTGAGTATCTTCACTAAGTGTCATTTCTGTTTTACATAATGTCTTTGGGGCTTTAAATACGAATCTCTTTTCTCTTATAGAGAAGTTGATCAGGATTCTGATGGTCATGTCAGCTTCAAAGAGTTTGAATCTGCAATGAACAAGATGAAGTATCAACACTGTACTTTGCCTAAAGTATATTCTCTAGTGAAAGACAAAGTGAAAACTCTAGATCTCAAGATATTTAAAAATCAATGAAACTTCATTTGTTTCAGTTAGCGTTTTAAGAACTTTGACTATAAATGTAGCTCAGAAGAACAGCCTTTGAAGCTTTACTGTTGACAAGTAGGGTTTATTAATGTACGTGTGTATGCGTGTGTAGAATACTTAAGATGTTTGAAATCTCTACTGATTTCCAATCATGCTTGTGAGGAACTGCAACTGTATACTTTTTCATTTTGACTTAACAGATAAAAAAGGAGTGACTCTGATTTCAACTTACTATGAAATTTATTTGTACATTTTTTAAGTGCTTTGTTGACAGAACAAAATATCTCACCCATGTACAAACAAATACATGACTGATAATGCCTTCTCTTTTAGAATCAGTAGTGCACTTGTCTTTTTATTGTTTCACTTTCACATCTTCTTCACCACACATTATTTTTAATTTTACATTTATTGGTGGTTGCCTACATGATGTAATTCTGAACAACAACAAAATCAACTCAAGATTTGCATATACACCATAAAAATAAGGAAGGTCAGCATAAATACTTAGCTTCTCCCTACTGATACATTTTTATTAAAGTGGAGATGAAAAATAAGTCTTTAAAGTGTACGTAATGTTCCTTTGTCCGTCAGGCTGAAAATATAGTAGATACAAATCTTCAGCTGAGTTTGAATGAAGAATCTGGATGTATGCACTTCAGCAAGATCAGAGAATTTTCCAAGAGCTGTGAGGAAGTATAAGAATCTGTTGCTGTCTGCACTCCTATCTTCCCTCTCTCTCCCCCTTTTTCCCTCCTTCCCTCCCTCATCTAGTAACTGATTATGGAGATATTCTTGCCTACTTTAACTTTTATACACCCATCCAAGCTGTGCTATGATGAGATAAATCCTTCTTATTCAATTCATTTTATCTGTGATCAGGTACTTCCTACTGCCTTTACTGTTCATATTAATAATAATAGATAATAGAGATTTCATTATGGTCACTGTATCTGATCATATGGTCCACTTTCTTGCTCTGTTTCTATCTTCCTGACAGTTGTTGAATTACTTGGATTATAGATTTGTTCTGAAATTGTCCAGAGGCAAACCCCTCTGCAGGTGGGCTTGCAGGCTACAGGACATAATTACTACCGCTGTAGATAAATAGCAAATAATAATGATAGTAAGAGGAAGAGAATAGCTTTCAATCCTATTCTAAAGCAAGAGGGAAGTCTCAATTTTTTTCTTTCAAAATTGAAGTAAGACATGTCAAAGTTGTAATATGCAGTTGAAGTATATATAAGACGATGTCTGCATTTTCTGTTCTTGTATGGTTTACACGTATGTGTATCCTTTTCGATGCATAAAGCGAAATCTTTCTATTCTTTAAGGCAGATAGGGAATAAATGATAGTAGGAAATTGGAGATTCTGAGTATATCAGTAGATATATCTGATTCTATATATAAGAGCCATTAGGTGAAATGAGCTGTAACTCAAATAGCCTGCTTTATGTGCTAATCAGTGAGAGAGAACTGGTGTTTCCCTTGAAAGGTGATAGCAAGACATGTTAATAGATTGGGGGTTTTGTCTTAGAAATGACATTTCCCAATAGATGAATGTTTTCATAAGAGAATCATCACCATGGATGTTAATTAGCAATATCATCACAGCTTCTGCAGAGACACAGAAAATTGAATTATTATCCCACAGGGATAGCTTCTGCAGGTCTAGACGCATTCACAAGGAAATGTAAGATGGTGGCTGTGCCATTACTTACGCGGTATTTTTTTGGTCAATAGATTTCTGTTTCCATGGTGCTCAATCCTTGTACATTTCCTGAACACTAAATCCATGCAGTAGTATTTTATTTTTCCTGTGTTATTTTTGTAATATTTATTTTAAAAATAATTGTCTAGTTCATAAGGGCAGCCAATCTGTCAGTTTTCCAAGTTCTGGAAATCTAATGTCTGGTAATAACTTTTATTCAGCCATTAAAAAGTATATGGCTTCTTTTGTTTAACTTTCTGGCCTGACTGTGTTTTGTTATTTAAATAATCTGACAGTATTTGCAGTTCAAAGACATTATGCTATAGAGCATAATATTCTGTTAAAGATTATAACCGACAAAATGTCTTTGTATGCTTTCCTCTTTAAGAAAAAAAAAATGGAAAGATGCTTTAGAGAGGAAAGAGCTCTCTGTTTCCTTTAGTTTCATGTACTCTCAGTCCTCATTTTCCCGGGTACTTGAAAAACTGCTATAAACTTGAATTACTGAGAATGGAAACTCCAGGAGAGGCCAGTGAAATCATTTTACTATGTTCCAGAAGTTTTTTAGGAAAAAAAAAAAAAAACAGAACTTTAATAAAGGATCATAAGTGTTCTTGTTTCTCCTCACATGAGGACTTACTGAAATTAACTGTGCAGATGACCACAACTGAGTGGAACTGAGCAAGTTCTGGTGATACTCTCCCTACTGAATACTTGAAATAACTACTCATTTGTGTTTACCAGGGTTTTGGCTATCAGAGTGCAGAAGCGCTGAAGTTATCGCTACAGATCAATAAATTGACATTTAGTAGATGGCTGAAGTGGTGGGCTAGTCTCTGTGATGGTTTGGTGATGGTTTGGCAAACAATAAGAGCAGTAGCTACCCAGTTATTGGAAGAAGGAGGTCATATACTCACTTGTTTTTGTATGTTTTCTATTGCTGAGGTAATGGCTCTCCTTTTGGTCATCAGGAAGGGATCTGCAGAGCCAAGAGCTATGAGCGGATGCAGCATTAGCTTGCAAGTTATGATTCTGATGATGCATATTCCTGTATATTGTTATAAAATGGGACTGTATGCTCATTAATAAGTCACATTCTTATGAGGTTCAAAACAAACTCATCCCAAGCATGCAAGGCCGTCAATGGTTTGTGCCCAGAAAAAAAGTTGGATGGCTACCATCTCTGCCACATCCTTTGGAAATGAATCATGGCTCAACCTCCAGCAGAGAAATGTTGAGCTGTGGTAAATACAAAGAAAGAGCCATGCCTTTGTCAGGAACAAATAATTATTTGTATATCCTGTGGCTCAACACAGAGGTGTATCTTTGGGATTTACTTATCAGGATGTTGTACTGTGTTTTCCAAGTTTATGAGCACATCTGCTTTCTTACTATGCAGACTTTCTTGTTTTCTCAGTGAATTTGCAAGCAGGATTTACTTGTAAGAATACCTGTGAAAAATATATTTACTTTTCTCAAGTTTTCAGATGAGGGATCAATTTATTTAAATTATTGCAAATAGATCCTTATGTACTGAGCTTGTTGCTACCATTTTCTGTAGATAGATGACATAACCATAAATACTATCAAAATATATTTGTTTTGTTCTCCTGGGCTTCTGTGATTCACTGTAGCTGTTGAAATCTAGTAATTTTCTTTTTAAAGGATTTGGATGATTGCATAGATGGAATGAGTGGTTGTTAAATTATGGTATTTGGGCAAGCAAATATTCCTGGTAGCTTGCAGAGCGTAATATACTGGAATCAGAGAGTGCTTTGATTGAAGTAAAATTCAGAGGATTGAGTCTGTACCAAGATTTCAGTCACTGGAATAGTTTTTCTTTTTTCCCTGCTCTATCAGGCAATCATTATTTTATCTGCATATTCAGTAATCAGAAGGATACAGAAGTAAATTTGTGCAGTACGTCATAGAATATGTAATGTTTCCCTCTAAGGTCTCCCAACAAAACTTTATGTAAAGATAGTACATTAGGGTTGCAGGAGTGTTACTGTGTCTTCTATATTTAATCAATTAGGTGGGTGGTGACTGACAAGTCAAAAACAGTAACTAGTTGGCACAAGAAATATGACAGTTCAAGGAAAAGCTGTGGCATGATTCTCATTTACTACAACATACTGGCTTTACACTTCTCTGGCAATGAAATGTGGTCATAAAATTGGTATGAATTACAGCTGCATTCCTTTGATTCATTAACACTGTTCTTTTAGTGGAAAGGTACTTGAATGTAGAAAAGAGTCAGGAACTCTGTGTACAGGCTGCCAATAACAAAATATATTACGATATGTAATTATTTGAAAAATATATTACATCACTTTTTCCATATGAAAACAAAGAGGAGGGCTTTTAAATGGCAGTTCTTTAAGAATCCATTTCTGACTCTAATTTACAAGAAATAGGATATTAGGAATGAATTTTGAAAGAGCCTATAGGCTGCATATGAACTTTGGCTCAAAGTATAATGTGATCTGAAGCGAATCCCCTAATCTTCCCCATGTTTCCCCACTGGTTCAGTAGGGCATACAAATTAAATTCACTTTCAAGGAAAGTAAATAAGAAGTCTGCTTGAGGTGCCCACAAAGTATGTTTCAGTGCCTAATGGAGATAAGTGGATCTCAGTAAGTGACTGTCCTGCACCACCATAAAGTCCTCCAGATCGCATCAGGCAGTCAGGCATTAGGAGACTCTAGAAAGGTCTAGGGTTTCCTAGAAAGAAGATTTTCAACCATGACTTGAAGTGATTCTCATGCTGCAGGAATGATGAAATTGTCTGTGCACCTTCGAATTTGCAGTTGACTATTAACTAGTATTAGAAGGTCAGTGTTAGAGCCCTTCATTGCCACTTGGCCAATAGAGGAGTTGCCTACTCCAAACTTGAGCCACTAATCACTAGGAGAGAAGGATTAGAAGTCAAGGATCATGAGGCTCCACAAAGGTGATAGTCTCTTTTGAGCACAGGAATGGGGTGCTAAGTCATCGTGTAATTATGATGGAGTAACGGACTGGTTGAAGGGCTTCCACTGTTCCCCTCCACATTTGATTTACAGCAACCACCATATTCAGAAAATTTTGAACAACATAGGTGGTGAGAACATTTCACCTAGTGGATCAGATTGAGTCTAGTCTATAGCAAATTTCCCAAATTCCACATGGTGACAGCCTCAGCACCAATTGCAACAATATACTAATCTGCTGCTTTTTCACTAAATTGCTAATTATTCAGATTGAGGTAGCCAGAGAAAGCCTGGTGCCTGTGGTAGTTTTCATATCTGTGCTTCAGTGAAAATCTCAGCCACAGTCAGATGAAGTCTCTCACTAACACCAAGGAGGAATTGTGTGTGCAGTGCAAAATGTCTAGTCAAGTTTCCATTTAGATACATTTAGCTTTGGTATGTAAATTGAGAATTTTCTTTGTGTGACCATTTACCTTTCTGAAAACAAGAAAACACTGTAGAATGTAGATACAGATGGCTTACAAACTGTTTGTGAAAAATAGGATGCCCACCACAGTGACTCTTAGGCTGAGTTGCTGCATTAAATGACCTGAGTTAGTCCTACTGCAAAAACCTAGTAACTGCAGAGCAGTTATGCTAGAAGGAAAGATCTTTGAAATACTTAATCCTTCTTGGAGAAAAAAGCTGTGATAGATGTTAAATAATTATAAAATATTCAGTGACATATTGAGATATAACAGATGCTATGGAATCATGTCATATTCAAACATTGTACTAATTTTATAAGTGTCATATATTTGTTAGCATTTCTATTTCAGGCAAAGGACAATCCTGAGAGTTAGTAATGTGTAATTCAACTGATAAAAAAGTACAAATAACAAGTCATTGAAATTCTACTTTCCTGCTCTGTTGGGAAAGCAGAAAACACATATTTACCTGGCTCAAAAGGCCTTAGAAGATAAAGAGCTTGAAATTCTGGTTTTTGACAGCTCGTTTTGAAAGAGAAAAGCAGTATTCCA